TTAGACTCATGAATGGATCAGAATTATCACTGGGAAAAAAATCATTGTCATACCATTTGATTGGTGATATGTGCTGCTGATTATCCATGTTGCTGAACTTATGCTGATTTATTTAACACTGCTGTATGCATTAGTACTCAACTGCTCACACAGACTCAGTCGTACTGCTGTTGTTCAGCGTATTGTTTTTGTACTATAGTGTTTAGTGTATTCGTAGTTTAGCGTATTTATTAGTTAATTAATACCTTAGATCTTATTACTGTTTGTCTTTACAATTTATACTTTTGGATGTAACTGGGACCATGTGTACACAATTTCGTTCCACCTCATGTACCACATGTGGTGCAAATGACAAATAAAGAAACCTTAAACCTTAAACATAGTGTATATTAATCAAAATTAGAGGTGAAACAACGATTCAAACAGCTGAGAAGCAATCAGACACTACTATAAAGTTCACTCCATGTTCTCCAAACTTCTCAAACTCAAGACTATTGCTGCATTAGCAGGTTATTAGATTTAAAGGCTCTAAATTTGCCCAGATTGCATTACAGTTCAGGAGAACACAAGTCATAGGTTTTATCTTTATATATATATATATATATATGTATGTATCCAACAGCAGGTCTCTTTTTTTTAAAAACTCATAATAAAACTAGCATAAAAAGGTGAAATTCATATTCTAAATTTCTGAGGACATATGAAAATGACAAGATTTATTGGCTTTTCTGTGCCTAAGTATTTAAGAAGGTGTCAGTCTTTACATATTGTCAGTAATACAAGTCAAGTCAAGTCAACTTTATTTATAGAGCACATTTAAAACAGAACCTGTTATCAAAGTGCTCAACAACAGCAACAACAACAACAACAACAACAACAACAACAACAACAACAACAACAACAACAACAACAACAACAACAATTAATTATTAATACAAGGCTGACGTATGTTTATCAAAGGGGATGAAGGATTTATAGCCTGGGTTCCTGGAAAGAAAAGTGAAACTAAAACCCTTCTTAAACACAATAACTCCTCGGGTAATCTGAATTATTTGTTTGCAGCTGTAACAACAAAATTGTAAATATTCTGCAGGGCTGCATGGATCTACCTTCTTTAAAATGGCGTTTTCCGAGCAGGCCTTTTGTCGATAATAAATAGAAATGTTGCCCAACACGTTGGTTTCTTGTATATGAGCGGTTAACAGCAGCAGTCTTCTAAACATGCAGGTGTGCGTGTAAAATCTCACCACACTGCGGTTTCCGCTCGTATCTCTCAGCGCCAGTCGGAACTCTCCGGCCCGGCTCGGGTCCATGCTGAGCTGCAGGCGCAGAGCTTCGCTGCCCGCTCCGGGGAGGCACAGGGGTCGGATCCCGGAATGGGACACCGAAACGCGGACTGACATCAGAACAGTACTGCAGCAAACGGCTGGGCCAGGCCCGCCGCATGTCGCCTGTTGGTGGGACGAGGCAGTCACCGGGGCTGGAGGAGCCCAGTTGCCCGAGCTGAGTGCCATGTCGCGGACAGTGGGGCAGGGGAGGCTCGATACTGGGTCTATAAGGTCCGCCACTGTTTAAAGAAAATAATTTTGGTCATGGTCAGGCTACAATTGCTGTTTCGATTCAAATGTTCTTCCATTATTTTCTACCCAAGCTGAGTAGATGGGGAGAGAAAAAAAACAAAACAGGAAGTACAAGTACAGTCCGTTATTTACGTCCGTAGAGAAACTAAGACGTGAAGAAACTGGCCGACCTTGATGCAAAAGTTGATTCAGTCCAGTTTTGTCAGACCAGTTTGATAGCACAGTTTTTGCCATGGAGAATATTTTCTCCATACAATAATAAGAACAAAAATTTACATTTTTTATTTATTTTATTTTTTTTTTTTATTTATTCAATTAAAAGAAACAAAAAAAATGAATCCAAAAAAAAAACAAAAAAAAAACCTAGCATTGAATGAAAAGGGTGCAAAGAAGAAGAAAATTCTTATAAGTAAAATTGTATAATAAAGGAAAGTAAAATTATAAATTTAAATAAACAAAGCTGATAAATAGGTTATTATTATTATTATTATTATTATTATTATTATTATTATTATTATTA